CCCATTTATATTTTTCTTGTCATCGTTGCTGTTATTGTTCAACGATTTTATCTTGTCAAATTTGCGAAAATGAAAATCAATGGAAATTCACTGAAAATTCAATGCAATTTAATACTGAATATTCATATTAGGTTGGAAATCCAAATGCATTAAGGAATTGTCGTCTTTATGCCCCTTAAAATTCTGGAATTTACTGAATCTTCAGTTAAACCTGAAATTTCATGATTTTTTTCCCCTAAATCGCATTTAATGTAACTGTCCTAAAAATTGGTAAATTATTATAAGTGGTTTGATGGTCTTTCATCCGCAACAATACGTAAACAATTTTCTCAAGATCAGAGTCATGCCTGCAGCATTATAATTATCTTTATATCTTAACGCATGACAGAAACACTACTGATTCCCCATTTATATTTTTCTTGTCATCGTTGCTGTTATTGTTCAACGATTTTATCTTGTCAAATTTGCGAAAATGAAAATCAATGGAAATTCACTGAAAATTCAATGCAATTTAATACTGAATATTCATATTAGGTTGGAAATCCAAATGCATTAAGGAATTGTCGTCTTTATGCCCCTTAAAATTCTGGAATTTACTGAATCTTCAGTTAAACCTGAAATTTCATGATTTTTTTCCCCTAAATCGCATTTAATGTAACTGTCCTAAAAATTGGTAAATTATTATAAGTGGTTTGATGGTCTTTCATCCGCAACAATACGTAAACAATTTTCTCAAGATCAGAGTCATGCCTGCAGCATTATAATTATCTTTATATCTTAACGCATGACAGAAACACTACTGATTCCCCATTTATATTTTTCTTGTCATCGTTGCTGTTATTGTTCAACGATTTTATCTTGTCAAATTTGCGAAAATGAAAATCAATGGAAATTCACTGAAAATTCAATGCAATTTAATACTGAATATTCATATTAGGTTGGAAATCCAAATGCATTAAGGAATTGTCGTCTTTATGCCCCTTAAAATTCTGGAATTTACTGAATCTTCAGTTAAACCTGAAATTTCATGATTTTTTTCCCCTAAATCGCATTTAATGTAACTGTCCTAAAAATTGGTAAATTATTATAAGTGGTTTGATGGTCTTTCATCCGCAATAATACGTAAACAATTTTCTCAAGATCAGAGTCATGCCTGCAGCATTATAATTATCTTTATATCTTAACGCATGACAGAAACACTACTGATTCCCCATTTATATTTTTCTTGTCATCGTTGCTGTTATTGTTCAACGATTTTATCTTGTCAAATTTGCGAAAATGAAAATCAATGGAAATTCACTGAAAATTCAATGCAATTTAATACTGAATATTCATATTAGGTTGGAAATCCAAATGCAGTAAGGAATTGTCGTCTTTATGCCCCTTAAAATTCTGGAATTTACTGAATCTTCAGTTAAACCTGAAATTTCATGATTTTTTTCCCCTAAATCGCATTTAATGTAACTGTCCTAAAAATTGGTAAATTATTATAAGTGGTTTGATGGTCTTTCATCCGCAATAATACGTAAACAATTTTCTCAAGATCAGAGTCATGCCTGCAGCATTATAATTATCTTTATATCTTAACGCATGACAGAAACACTACTGATTCCCCATTTATATTTTTCTTGTCATCGTTGCTGTTATTGTTCAACGATTTTATCTTGTCAAATTTGCGAAAATGAAAATCAATGGAAATTCACTGAAAATTCAATGCAATTTAATACTGAATATTCATATTAGGTTGGAAATCCAAATGCAGTAAGGAATTGTCGTCTTTATGCCCCTTAAAATTCTGGAATTTACTGAATCTTCAGTTAAACCTGAAATTTCATGATTTTTTTCCCCTAAATCGCATTTAATGTAACTGTCCTAAAAATTGGTATATATTATTATAGGCGGTGTGATGGTCTTTCATCCGCAACAATACGTAAACAATTTTCTCAAGATCAGGGTCATGCCTGCAGTATTATAATTATCTCCATATCTCACCGCATGACAGAAACACTCCAGACTGTTAAAAAATTTGCACTGAAGTTTCCAGGCTTTAGTCTTGAAATATGAAACAAGTGACGGTTTCATTGAAATTTCAGGAAATTTTACCATTGAAAATTTGTGGTCTTTGTGGAAAATTCCTGGAAATTTTAAATGTCAGTTGAATTATTCCATGAAAATTAATGGAAATTAGGAAAATTCAAGCCAAAATGTCCTTGAATTTTCAATTTTTTGAAATTGCAGAGCAATTTCTTATTGAATTATCATTTTTACATTGAAAATTCATGGAAATTTCGGCATCTTCATGGTTCTTCCACTGAAAAATCAGGAATTTCCTTGAATTTTCAGGGAAACTTGAAATTTCATAGACTTTTTTCCGTTGAATTGAACTCAGTGTCGTTTTCTGGAAAATTCAGTTAAATTTTTTTGACAGTGCACTGATTCCCCATTTAAATTTTTCTTGTCGTCGTTGCTGTTACTGTTTAACGGTTTTATCGTGTCCAATTTGCGCAATTATCCTGAGATGTTTGTCAGCAAACAGTCGCATAAAGAGGATTACGCATAAACTCAATATATTTGTTGGCAGTCCATCTGGCAGCTCATAATTTTTTACTCTCACCAATTCCATTCTTTCAATTTCGCTTCACTCTCTCACCTTTGTGTTACACACTTGCGCGAGATGTTTAGAAGAATTTGAAATTCATGAAGTCGTGGGGTGTTGACTTCGCGACGGCGGAATTGCCAGGGGGAAACCCAGAGGCAGGTGATGGGGCCCTGCTAAAGCTTGGAATGGATCTTCCTCCGTTTATAATACTCACTCTATCATACGCGTATGTATATGTAAACAGGCTAACTCGCACTACGATAAATTTTACGATAGAAAATACAGGCTCGCATTCCAATCAAACGGAGAAGACTACACAAGTCGTAATAGCTGTATTCATGAATGAATGAATCACAATTTTGTTCCATCTTTTTTTATGGTTTTTTTGCCTGAGGAAGTTTTAATAAAAAACGTAACGTCGTAAATTGATAATTCATTAAGGTATTTTTATGGAAATCAATCAATCATGTTCATGAGAGATTTTGATGATTTGTGCTGAGAAAAATTTGTCCTCGTATTGTACACTTAACAATTTTTATCGTGTTCCAATTCCACTGAAATTTCAGGAAATTTCGTCATTGAAAATTCAGAATCTCGTGGGAAAATGAAACAGAACTGTTAATTTCCGTCCATTTTTCTCTGAAAATTCAATGCAATTTGACACTGAATATTCATATTAGCTTGGACATTCAAGTAAATTAAGGAATTCTCGTCTTCATGCCCCTAACAATTCTGGAATTTTACTGAATTTTTAGTGAAAACCTCAAAATTTCATGATTTTTTTTCCCCCAAATCGCATTTAATGTCCCTGTCCTAAAAATTGGTAGTCAACTGTCCCTAAAATTTCATTTTTTTTCTAACAGTGTAAATAATAATGTAGAGTGCAGTTGACAGGGATGAGGTAGCAGGCATGTTACTTAATATTAAATGTTAGCGAAGAAACTCGAGCTGTGTAATTTTCGTGGTCTGCCCCCGTCATCATTATCTCCAGAAGTGAGCATGTATAATCCTTTGCCTTGCATGTAATACAGAGGATCGGCTCCACCACCCTCGGTCTCAGTGTGTAACGAGCAGCGCACACCTATAACGAAGAACCTTGCCATTAGATACTCGCTTGTCATAATTATTTTGTCGAGATATACCGCTTAGCGTTACAGTTCCCCTCCAAATCGTCTGCACTTCATGATCCCCATTACTATTCGGTGTTGGGCTCGAGATTATCGTTTCTACCTGATGATGGTTAATATTATGGTCATGTTGGAGATAATGAGGCTGGTCAATCAATGAAAATTCCAATAATTTCATTCAGCTACTCCTAATTATTCTTTAGTGTACTATACAGAGAGAAATGTTCAGTAAAAATTACGGAACTCACAATTCGCTCACCGATTACGGAATCGACTCAGAAAATTTAAGTGACGGTATCGTAATTTTTCACAAGAGATTCAGATAAAAATTACGGAACGCTCCGGAAAAATTCCGTGACAGTTCCGTAAAATTTCCTACAACGACATTTCGCTCCGGAATTACGGAAAAGATACGTAATTTTTATTGAATATTTCTCTCCGTGCAGAATTTATTTTCGTATATTATTTGTTATCGATATTTTGAATTTCTCAATGTACTTTTTCATCCCATTTCGCATCACACAACACTCTATCTCAGTAGTTTTACTCTTGTTGTGTCCCCTACATCCGAGTCGTTGCAGTAACCTTCCGGAATCCTCAAACCGTAGTGCCTTTGATCTACCATTCCGTCTCCTCGGCCTCGCAGGAGGATAATGTTCTAAAATCCATTTCTAAATCTTTTCTCTCCCCACCCATGTTTTTTTCACATCCATCTTCCTCAAAAGTACTCTTTTATAAATCTTTTACAAATAAATTTCTCATTTCGATGAAAAATATTTTCACAGCAAAGAAAATGGTTGAAAAAAACAATCAACAGACAAATATCTACTTTTTCTCGTTGATAAAGAGAGCTTCCTTTTAAGAATTTACTTAGGGGTATGGTTTCACCCAAAGACCCTCCTCACTTCCCCATTTCGTTGCCTACAGTCTATTATTTATTTCATCATCTATTACATCCATGAACCTTTACAATTTAGTGGCAGCATTGTATATTTAACGCTCAGCAAAAGCGGCGGTGGCGGCTCACCATTATCCCATCCGCTGAGTCTCTTCCCCTCCCAGATGACTCCTTTTTAATAAAATATCCTCGTATATTGTCCACTGTTGTGTTGATGCCGTGTATATTTTTCTCTTTTTACCAGAAATTAATATTAATATCTGTATATATAAACTTGCAGAGAGAAAAATCTCTTTGAAGCTTCAGTGTTCGCACTGGCTCAATATTAACTTGCAAAGAGAATTAAAATTTCCATCGTCTTTTTCAATTGTTGCAGCGAGGAAGCGATGAACTTTTGTCGCAGAGCGGTGCAGTAAACAATGGTGCCTCGATGAGTCCCCAGCCGCACCACGCTGCTGACAACAACAATGACGCCAAAAAGGTAGATTTTTTTGCTTATTTTTCCAATATTTTCCTCGTGTAAAAGATACAGGAGGACATGGTGTTACACAGGCTAATGCAATATCACATATCCTTTGGTACACCCGCTGTTTCGACGATATGTGGATCGATGCACCGTTGGCCCTCACCACGCGCGTGAAATATTTCATCTACACGATACACGATACAGACATATCATTCTGTGTTAATTATTGAGTGCGCGTCCAACGGTGTAGAGTATATATCTTGGTAGTTTTGGGATTGTTTTTTTTATTTTAAACGCGAAAACAAAGGATCTGAACCAACAGCACACAAACAGAGAAGAAAGGAAAAAAATAACTCCCTCATGCGGAAAAATGCAGTATACTGTGGGAAATAACTGAAATATCTACCAAGCCGGCTAAAATGCGTCTTGCAACTTTTACGGGAAAAGGTTTTTGAAGGGTGAGAGTCGTGATATACCTCAGTCACAGCCATTCAACCTACAATTCTAGAATATGACGTGCGCTCCAACAACCATTAATATTTCCGTTGCACACAGGCTGAATAATGATCTTTTCCATTTTTCTCCTGCTTTTTGTTTTTCATTATTCGATTATTCGATCTGGAAAAAAATGTGATGGAGCTGCTTGGGCTTGTCATGCTCCAGATAATGAAATATATCAGTCGTCTTTCCGAAGTGCATAGATTGATTTAGACATTTTTTTTTCTTCGAACATGTCGATATTCAGTCGCTGTCGCTTTCCACTCTATTCACCCTAGATTGGTCACCCTATGAGGGAAACCCCGCCACGCGTCGTTTTTCTTTAATGAAAACGATCGCGCGCTTGAGCGCGCGTGTTAAAGACAAATCGTGACACGAAAACCGAAAGCCGACCGAAGTCGAACACGTACGGGCGGATCCGAATGTTCGACCAATGAAATTCGAGAAATGAGCGTTACGCTACAGCTTACGGCGTATGTTCTTCTTAGAATAGGAATAGGATTACAATAGGATACTTTTGAGAGTTCTGAATAGCTCGTCGCTTAAACAGTGGAAATCAACGTTCACCCGGGTAAAAAATCGATTTACGCGAAAGTCGACTTTCCCCCTGGAAAAACGCAAAATCTGACCGTTTGAAAATCTAAAAAAAAAACTTTTTCAGTTTTCAGTTTTTCCACATACTTTTGATAGTTCTGAATAGCCCGTCGCTTAAATAGTTGGAATCAACGTTCACCCGGCTAAAAAATTCGATTTTGGCGAAAATCCACTTGCCCCGGAAAACCCGAAAATCTGACCCTTTGGGTCGGGGTGAAAAAAAAAATTTATTTCGACTTTTGTCGCGCCTTCGGGGGTTTCATTGGCATCAGAATTGTTAGAAAATACAGAATCAACTTTCACTTGGCGAAAAAATTCAATTTTGGCGAAAATCGACTTTCACCCTTGACCCACGTGAAAATGAAAATTTTTTTTTCCCCTTTTCTGTCACCTCCGAGGATTTCATTGGCATCAGGGCGTTAATAAATACAGAATCAACGTTCACTGTTTTTTATTTAAACACCGCCTGCAAACGGGGAGATGAGGGTGGCTAAAATATATTCTGCAACCCTGTCTCCTCGTTGGCTACAAATTTCAACCCTCCGCATACATGCCTTCCCCTTCACGCGCTCGTAAAATCACGCGTTCTCGGTAGCATCGAGGAGTACTTCTCAGGACCGAAAAGAACTGAGGATTCGAAAGGTCTGTGGAAAAGTACGTCGCAGAACTGATTAGGACTTACCAGGTCCATCTAGGTCTGGAGAGATCTTGAAAGACCTGTGTACGTCCAATCAGAACCAAATCCTCGACTCGGGTGGATGTTATTCTATTTATTGAAATAATATTAAAATGCGTCTCGAGTTGGTAAACCTGTCGTGTGTTTTCTCTCTCTCAGTTCCATTGTCCAACCCATACATTTCCCTTGATGCTCACTGACATTCGAATGTCGCGCCTGCGCGTGAGTGCGCAATTGCCCCGAAACTCATAATTTTCCGAATCATTTGTTCAAATAACTTTCTTATGAAATATGAAAAAAATCTGAAACTTATACGTGCTCTCTAGAAAGATTTTATTTATCACCCACTAGTTTTTCCTCAATTGTTCACTATATTTTCGTGTGCCATGGAAATTTCCCTAATTGAACGTGGGGTAACCTCGGAGGTTACAGCTAGAGGGGCTCCAAAAACATCTAAATTTCATAATTTTTTTTCTTGAAACTGAGATCTGAAAAATTCTGCAAGAATTCTCAACGGTGCAGCATACTCAGCATTTTCTCCCCTGAGTTTTCCAATTATTTTCATTATTTTGACTCTTCAGCCGAAACATTTTAATTGCAAACAGGGCAAAAGATGTTGTCCGTGCCGCATCCATCCTACACGTAATATTAAACGAATCAAATCGTCGATAACCATAGCTTGAGGTTATGTCCATGCTAATACAGGAATTTGATGTATTGGAAGCTGAGAGCGCATCTATGTGAACCTCTCACGCACTCAACCTTTTAGTGGTTACATATTTTCATTTACGATGGCAGCTGAATTTGAATTCCAAAGGACCTCGAAATATTAACGATGTAAAATGATTCAGTGTCGCGCATACACATGAATAATTGAGTGAATTAAATCCTTCGGTCATGTGTTTTTCAATTTATCATGGTAATAAACATATTTCTAGCGAAAAAAAGGGCGAATGCAGTATGCATGATATATTTACACACAATATACAAAAAAAAACTGAGCATTATTGATGGAAAACTGTAGGAAGAGTTGGGCCACTTGAGTTTGTTCGGCCAGATGGTGGAGACTGTACGTCTGAAGACAGTTGACGGAGGTGTATACAGCTATGTACGTTTACAAACTGGCGCAATATGTACTTTTGATTAATTGCGCAGTCTTATCTGTCCCAGAACACCAGACTACGATGCTGACGTGCATCTTTCCGTGCAACGTTCAAAGTGTATATTCATCTCATTTGAAATGGTTTTAGGAACAATAACGCCCAGGGTTTTGTTGCTCCATTTTGAGAGGTGAAAATCGCGTTATCTATCTCACGGGCCTTCAAGCCTTCTCCGGAGGGGGTTTAGCTTTCAGGGTGATTGCACAGCAAGCCGTTAAGAGTTTTATAGTTACCCTTCCGTGTAACGACGCGATCTCAAGTAAGGGCTCATGGGGTAACAGCGGTTTAGTCTTTTACTTTCTGTGTACAAGACCTCTCATCAAAGGGTTATGCACACTTACTCGTTTGTACGCCGTATATGGGACATTCTGCCAGCCGAATATGTGTGTTGGATTAATTGTCTCGTTGTCGTTTTTCTGCGCTAAATTTTTTTCCTTCTCTCTTTCTCTCTCCTTTTGTGTAAAAATAAATTTCAATTTTCGTTCATTTGTTCTGGCCAAATGAAACGTTGGAGATTTTAATTAAATTCCATGCTCTACATTTGTATGGGGAATATCATTGTGACCGCGGAAATAAAATTTGTTCAAGTCGATTAATATTCTTGATTTAGATTATTTGTGTTGGATAGTTGAAGGAGCGTGTTTGGAAGGGGTTTGCCTTCAGCTCGTGATGTTTGAATTCTCGTCGTGTGGGAACATTGAGTTGAGTAGTTGGATTCGAAGCAGAAGCAGAGTAGCAAAATGACATAGTGCATTTATGATTATCCTTTGGCTCTGTACTGTCCCAGGCAAATCAATCAATTGAATAAATGGAGTGCGATGGTAAAAGGATCGTGGAATGAGCGATTGGTTTGAGAGAAAGAGGAAGGGATGGAAAATTTGAGGGAGGGAGAGCGAGAGCGAGAGAGTGAGAGACGTACGAGAGTATAGTATAGTTGGTAGGCTAAGCGTAGAGCCAAAGTGGACTCCGGCCGTGCAACCAGGAGCTTGACTGGAACGACGAGCTCAGTAATGCATATTGACGTTTTGCCGATAATTCAAGCGGCGCCCTAGTGGGCGAGAGAGAATCAACTATAGGTTCAGTCTATATATACTGATCGAGGGTGGTGGAGCTTGGTATATGTATAGTGGTTACCAACGATGCCTAGCCAGCCAACCGAAGATAAAGAGAAAACGTGACAACTAAACCGGCCCAGCAAAATTCAAGGAAAACACAGATGTATCCTCTTTCGTTGATACTTGAGACACGTTTCATTTACTGTTTCTTTTTTTCTCTTTCTTTTATTTAGCTCCCTTTATTTGTCTTCACTTGGGAAACAAAAATGTCATTGATGTATACGCTTTCCTGAATCCGTGTCTACCATCGTCAAATTGCATTTCACTTCAGTCAGGAAATAACAGAATTGCACCGGCGATATCAGATTATTGCGTACACTGTTAGAAATTTTTTTCAATTTAAGTAACAGATGCATTTTGAAGTTTCAATATTCGGAATTTGAATTCAATTTCATACTAAATTGCTCGTGGAATTGCTGATTTATCTTGGAAATTCAATAAAATTGAGTTTTTCGTGATGAATGATCATGGAATTTTCAGTGACAAGTTGGATTTTTACACCTATCGCGAAAATTGAGCTTTATATTCAATTGAATTTTCAAGAGATTGAAAATTCATAACAAAATTTGCCTGAATTTTCTGTGATTTTCAGTCATTTTCATTGTCGTTTCGATTTGAGAAATCAAATTTCATTTAATATTCAAGATAATTCACTGATTTATCAATAACAAGATCAATGGAAATTCCATGTAAATTATTCGTTCTTAAGAATTTCAAGATTTTTTCCTTGAAATTTCAATTTTTGAAGGGCATCGTGATAATCGAGTGCTCAAAAATTATGAAAATCAATTTAAAAAGTCGCACTATTTTAGTTGGAGCAATTCACGGATTCTTGGCAGTACAATTGAGACATTTCTGAATTTCTTCTGTAAATTTTTCTACCTCACAACCAGCTACGCTTCTGCAAAGATAGTCCGGAGCATTTTCCCGTACGAATGTCCATATATTTTTTTGTGTATATCTATGAATTGT